TTAATTTCGTTAGGTATATCCTTCATCTTTTCAGGTACTTTAAAATGTGGATTCATTAATCAGCATAACTATATTTAACTTTCACTTCCCAAAACCCTGAAAATCAAACCTCAAATATTTTGGATTCCCTTCAATTTGCTTTTATTCAATCCTGAATAAAACACAACTTTAAATGTTCATTTCCGGGCCCAGACAATCTTCTTCCTTGACGCTCGAATTTCCTTAGCCATCATCCTACCAACGTTACTTTAAATGCCAAATGAGCTTCCGTTGGGCCAAGTCCCAAGTCCTATCTCCTTGCCGATTTTCTTAGCCGTAACTGGAGTGGCCAAGTGGAATCCCAAAGCCAAATAGAATCCGGGCTCAGCAAATGACCATCCATTCGACTTATTACATAATTAATAATTATATGAGAAGCAGAGGAGGAGCTGCAGGGGAGGGGGCAAGGCATTTTAATAACCCATCACATCACTTGCCCCACTCAAGTTTCCACTTGGCACAAGGCACATGGCAAGTGGGTGGCTTCCGTGGGCGGTGGCCAGAAATCAATGTGTGAAACGTGCTAATTGCGGCAGCTGTGCAAATGTGTGCCTGGCCATTTGATAGTTGACCATCATTTTGATGGCCCACCAGGCGGAGTCCTGGAAATGGGCCCTGCGGATATCTCTAATGTGTGGTGCGGTCAGAGGGAGGAGAAAAAACTAATTGCCGGGAAGTGACTGAAGGAGAAAGTTTTGCATAAATGGCAGCTCGTCTTGGCTTTCATCTCGAACTTCTGGCCAAAGGAGCCCGAAATCAGCAAAAGCTGTGGGTATTCCAGTCGTAAAAAATGGCAGTGGCGCACTCATGACTGCCGTAACACGTAATGAGATACTTCAAACTGATGTTATTGCTTTATTTATAGAGCTGCATAAAAAGTCAAGAAAAAAACTTGAGAATTTGAAGCTATGGTGTGGGGTTTCCCTATCTATGACATAGGTTTTTCCTCGCCCTTGCTTCATAACCTTTTTTATGCCCACGTGAATGGCCCGTAGTTCGGTTTTTTGTTCCATCATATACCTCCAGTTGCTCTTTTACAGCCGCTCTTGTTTATTAAACTTCAACTGTCACACACGATGGCGCACTGAGAAAAAGCCAAGGCTAGTTTATGCCAAAATTCACTGAGAACTAACAAGTTTCAGATACTCTTAGCTTGATTTAACTATATAAACTAACTTAAAATGAATGTTAATCTCAAGGCTTATAGAAAGGTTTCATTATTTTCAGTGCAGAAAGCATGTATGAGTACCAAACTACCTATCGGTTTTGATGGATGCATAAATCTTATCTGTTGGCAAATAAACGCTGCAGCCAGTCGTTATCGCTGCCTCTGTCCCTTTCTCTATCTCTATCTCTGTTGTATTATCTTTCTCTCTCTATCTGTGTGTCTCCCCCATGCTGCCAGCTTCTTTATGATTGCCTCGGATTAGCTAATAACTTTCATGGAACTCGTTGAACTTGAGTAATTGCGCTGTCTTTCCACGCTGCTCCTAGACAGACATTGTTTAGATAAAAATAATTTTCAGTCGTGAAATTATTCATGGCCTGTTGTTTGATTAAAGGCTAGCCAGCAGCAGAAAAAGAAGGAAAGCAAAATATAGCCACGATAACAAGGAAGAAACGATGGAAATATATTTTCATGGCTAATAATAGATGAGGTCATGTCGCGGAACTGAACTTCCTTGCTTGCCTTTCTTTTGCTATAGCAAAATCTTAATTGAAAGCTAATACCGAAAAGGGAATTTTCTCAGTTTTGCAAATCGGCAGCAGGATCAAAGGGTTAATTTAATGAGCTTCGTGTTGCCTTTAATTCCGACTCCTCTAACTCCCCATCAGCTTCAGCTGCTGACTCATGAAAAATTAACACACAAATCGCATGGGGCAGACATTTAAAATGCACTTTGTTGCAGCTGCATTGCATAAAATTATTGCAGAAACAAAAATGGTCTGCGATAAGAACAGCAAAGCCAACAACGATTGGGAAATGGATTTTAAAAAATGCAACGACTTTGTAGATACTTTAAAGGATAAAGAAGGATTTTAAGATAGCAAAGAATGTCTCAAGAATATATAAATAAATACTAAATGTAAAAGCTTTTTGTTAATTGCAAATATTTTAAATAATATTTTAAATTGGTTGAAAACATAAACTATCTCAGCCAACAGTTCTCTCTGCCAGAAGAGTATTGGGATAATGCTTTTTCCTTGACTTGCAGACGAATGCTTTAAAGTGCATCAATTTTAATGCAAATATGCAGCAAGCAGCATTAACTTTTGCTGTGCTCTTAAAAATTTACATAATTGCTGAAAGTCAGGCGAGAGGCGCCTTTCGGTGCCCCGCACACCCCTTTCGGCCCGCATGTGTGTGCAATGGGTGGAAAGTGGGGTAGAGGGTTGGAAAACTTTAATGAAAAACGTCCAGCACTTTGCACAATTAACGATTTTTCATGATTTCCCCCCGACCAACCGCTCTGCCCGCAGGCAATTTGCATAAATCAGTGCAAAGTATCTGTGACACATGGAGAGCACGCCTCGTAGGTGGTAGGTTTTGGCCTGGTCAACTGGGTGGCCGTGGGAGAAAGTGGATGAAAGTGGGTGACTGGGTGGCTGGGGGTTCCTCTGAAAAATGTTTACACATTTGCAAATGTCTGAAGGTCAGAGGTGAGGAGATGCCGGAGGGTACAGGGAGCGGACCAGCGGGCTGTGCAACATGATTTAGGCGTTTGCCCGCTGAGTAATTGTTGTGCGGCGGTTCCGTGGCTCACTGGCGCAGCTTTAATTTAATTTATGCAACACTATGGCAGAGGCAGAGGAGACGCCTCCTCCGCCTTGTCGAGAGCCACTAAGTGGCCGCTTCAGCGAAATTAAATGCACTTTCCCCGGTTGTTGTCGTCGTCATCGCAGTTGTTGCAAGCGATGGCCACGGGGTATGGCAGGGTATGTCTGCACTCAGGAATACTTATTGATACAGTGAATATAAAAATATATACAAATTATTTTAAGTTACAAAAAGTTAAGTTAAGTATTAACTTCTCATAAAAGTTTAGGTCGTAGTGCAATACTATCAACATTCCATGAAAGTCGTTCTGTACAATGAATACTAAAATCAAAATAATGAGTAAATGGAAACTATATTTAACTAAATTAAACTTTGATAGTGCATTTACGAACAATACGTAAAGCTTAATTAAATAAACTTAATGAACTGGAAAATTGGCTCTCTTTAGCTGCAATGAGAGACGCGTTTTAGTGTTTAATCACTGAACTGGACCGATTCCATAGTATTTGAGGGCCAAAATCAATACCCTACTTACAGTATCTCCCATGGCGGTGCTTAAATTATATTACTAGCCATCAAATGGTCGATTCCCGGCCATTAGAAAATAATTTCATTTGCTATTATTTACGCTGGCTGCAGCTTGCAGCTGCCTCTGAGCAGAATTTATTATTATGGCCGCACAATGTGTTTAGTTTTATGGGCAAAGACGTGAAGTGTTTATAAGGAGTAGCCAGCAGCCTGCATTCCCCGGACTTATTTAATGCGTAATTACAGCGCAAATCTTGTTAAGCAGTCGAAGAAGCTCGGAAAAGGATGGCAAAGCGGAAAAGCGAGATAGTTGGCCCTGAGCATTCTCGAAAAGGCAACACTTTTCCGAGGGCCAAAGGAGCAGTGCTGAGAGGCAGCTTAGTGTTTGCTTCATTGAATTCATAAGCGTCTCGAAAAGTAAATCCCAGTGAACTTTGGCGAGAATCCTTCGTTCGGATAGTGGAAAAAAATGCATCTAGAAAAAATCTCTAACATAAAAAGCTATGGGGTAAACCGAGGATTTTCCCAGCTCCTGCCCCCCTACTCCGCCTCTACCACCATCATGTCGAGTTTCCCAACCTCCGAAGAGGACAGCGGGTCGTCAAAAGTCAATTAACTGCAACACTTGCAACACAACTTCAACTAATTAGCGTGATGCTGCCCCAGGTGAAGAGGTTGAGGTTGATGTGAAAAAGTGGGTAGAGAGATCTGTATATATACATATATAGAGAGAGCACCCCCAGGGACCCAGCAAAATACACAAAAATGTGTAGCATGCTTTTGGGCTTGTGGTAAATAAGAATGCACTTAACGTCGGGTTTTAGATGAGGATGCATAGAGTGTGGTAAATAGAGGGGTGGATGGGTCTATCTGGGGGCGGAAATGCCTGACTTTTACGCAGTGAAATGTATGTCATGCTGGGAGAGGTTCATTTGGGTTAGTTGTGGCCACCAGGGAATACTATATCTCTGGGTAAGTAAGTAAGTAAGAATGAATCAAGATAGGCTCAGATAACAATTAAAAAGGCTATCCATTAATTTATCAAAAAGATTATAAATCTGGTTATATAGTAACCTAGCTTTCATATTAGCAATTTTTCCATATCTCTATGACGCGGAAGTCTGCAGGTCGCCCTTGGCCTTTTTATGTTATAAATTACGTCAATAAATGGAATGAGAATAGTGTCAAAGTGATAAGTGCTTGAATTAATCAGAAAACATATGTTATTAAATTGCTGTTATCATGATTTATTAAATAATATCAATGTCGTTATCACTAGTGAAGTGTGTAAATAAAGTTGTGGATCTCCAACTAACATTCAAATACCTCCTGAAGCTAAATTTAGTTCACCCTTTCAAGTTTAAACTATAAATAGTTGAGTTTCTCCATTTGAGTTTTTCTAGGGAATTTTCTAAGAGTCACTCCATTATCATGGAGTTCCTCTGTCCCACTTCTTTGGTATATTTTGGCGGCGTTTCTGTGACCAATCATCATCATCATCTGCGTTTAATTAGGCTGTTACTTGTTTCGAACACCTTATCTTATCCACTCCCTTGGAGACATTCCCAACAAGATGTGCTATCGGGTATCGGGTGATGATAACCACCTGTGGAAACACTCTCAAGCCTCGAATGCATCTCCATTTCGACTTCGATTCCCGTTTGGAGTAGATGTGGCGTGAATTTCCACCCGAATGAAGCTGCCATCGAAGGTGGATAACGTGTGGAAGCGTTTCCTGGCCATGCTGTCCCTGCCGGACTTGTTAGGTGAATCCGTTGCAAGCTCTATTTACTTCAACTCTTAGTTTCCATTTGATTTTGTCATTTCGCAGTGCTGGGCTGTTTGTGGGCCAGTGGCTTCTCCTTGGGTTACTATGCCAAGTCGGCTTATGTGTACGACAACCTGTGGCCACATTGGTACACCTTGGTGGGCGGGATAGTGGCCTTGGCTCTGACCCTAGGTTGGACCCTCAGGAAGCACAAGAAGCAGCAGTACAGCTACGATCACTACTACATCATATTCTACGGCCTACTTTGCTCGCTGATGGGAAGCTGCTTCATGCTGACTAAACAGCTGGGTGAGTAATCGATGGAATTTAAACTCTGATTAAATAGTATATTGTGTAAGAACGCCATGACATTACTTACAGATGCATATAGAATTCTTGTATAACTTTAATCAGGTTTTCATTTCTATAATAATTAACTTTGTTAAACGTTAATCGCCAGCTGTTAGCTACTACTTCATCTTTGTGGGATTAAGTGTGCAGTATTTGGCCGGATTCAGTTACGTGAGCCTGCGTTGTGATGCCTCCGGAACAAGGCCTTCCAGAATATCCCTGGCAAACTCATTATATGCCGGAGGAATGACCACAGGATTTGTGATTTTCAACGAGATGGAACCGCAACGTTGCGGATTGATTGCTTTGGGAATTAACCTGCTCTTACTCTGCCTGGTTTGTCTAAATGAGTTGCTGCACCACACGGGTTGCATTAACTACAAGGAATCAAGGGATTTGGTTTTTAATCTACTCAACGAAGAGAAGATGGCCTTCCTGCCGCGTCAAGCAATTCTGGCCCAGTTTGTGGACCGAACGGATTACGAACTGAAGGATAGTAGGCAGTGGTTGGTGCTGATCCTTGGAGGATCTCTGGTTTATCTACAAAAGAGCTGCCTCCTCTTCTCACCCACCTATATGCAGCTGATGTGGAGCAGCACTGTGGGATATCTGCAGCGAACCCAGCTCTATATACCCTTTGTTCTCTACTCGGCTGGCACGAGTTTTGGAGCCCTGCTCCTGATGAGGTACACCCCCAAGTTGGTGTATCTACTCTTCGGACTCATCCAGATGACCTTATTAGTGGCTCTGCTGTGCATCTACAGCGATGAACAGTCGGAGAATTGTTTTCTGTTCCTGTGCCTCATATACATCACCATGGGAGTGCTTTCGAGTCAGGGAATCCACTGGTTACTGGAGTGCTCACCCTTCCTCTACGCCGAGTTGGCCTTGGCCGCGGGTTTCATCCTGCAACTGGCCGTTCTCGAGGGCTCTAAATACGAGTCATTCGCCACGGACACTTGGATTGCCTTAATCATAGTCAGTGTAATCACACTAGTGCTCACTGCCCTGGCCATTCCGGTGGTGCAGTGGCTCCAGCCGAATTCCGCCAGCCTGGTTGATGTGCGAAACCGACTGCTGGGCATCCAGCGAAAATCACTGCCTCCGGAACAGACCCAATTCTGGCACACCAACCACTTCCTGGCCCACAACAAGCCAGCCAACCAGCTGGAATCCGTGCAGCTGGGCAGGAACCGCATCTTCCAGCAGTATCCGATCAGCGGGAGTGACATCACGACCAGCCACAAGAACGACAAGCTCTGATAATAAAGTGCTGTAATCTAAGCTTCCACATGTTTGTCTTTTATACATCCCAATCATCAGTCACTCTCAGTGGCACTGTCAATGGGTTTGCTTTGTTATTTATCTTCATCGTACTCAAAACACACAGAAAAGTAACACTTCATCTGAATTGGTTTCTATTGAATGAAACCTATGAATTTATTTTTAAATAACTGCAAAGTAAATCATTAAAGAGTTCTTTAAAAACCAAACTTAATCCTCCATAAACCATAATTTAGATATTTAACAACATTTTCATAAGCTGAAAACTCTGAGAAATCCGTTGCCTTGCAATAAGCCTTTCCCAGAGATTATTAATTATTCATGAGGCGGCATTATGATTTCCACAACTCAAAAGAAATTAAATCTCCTTGGAAAAAAAAAGGCTTGGAAACACAATGTTGAAGCTGCCGGGCAACATTAATGATTTTTATTGATTTTTAAGCAAATTAAATTGTGCGTAAACCGCAAACCGAATTTATTATAAAGTCGCTTTATCAGTCGACTTCTTGCGCCTCCGCATCCTTAGACTGAATTTTTATTGCCAAAACATTAAACATTTATATCCGCTATCAATTTCGTAATGACGGAAAGAGCGTAATCGCATCTCGTCTGAAGCTGGCTGAAATTTTCCGGTTCTACCTAATTTAATTTACGTAGAGAACAGGGCCGGAGCCCAGCCGCCGCAACGTGCAATGGCAATAAAAGCGTTAAATTTGTTTATTTTTTCAAGCCTCGCAGGTCCGCAGGGGATACTGCCCCGCAGGACTTCCCTTTATCGGAGCCAGCCATTGGGTTTTCAGTTCGATTTCAGTGTTTTTCCATCCGTTCGTTCGCCTGTTTAGAGTGCCGCATACCTTCCGGCCCCGCTGGAAATCCTCCTCCACACGGATGCCCGTACACATATAGCCTCCGCTCCGGGCGCTCCACGTTCCTTTGTTTTTGCCTTGCCATTGTTTTTAAGTGGATGCCGGCACCTCCTTTGTTGTATGTTGGTGCATCAGGAGGGGCCGAAATGGCAGCCACCGGCAGTTCCGATCCCCTTATCACTAATGAAGTGGCCAATGAACTGTGGCCCAGAAGATTAAAGCGAAATTAAATGGCTAACCGAAAATTGATTGATCGAAAAAGGTGCGCAACCCAAATAAGAACACAGAACCCACGAAGGAAAATAAATGAGAAAAATTATTTAAACCGATTTAGGTTGCGGTTAGCAGCATTCCCATATGTTGTGCGGTTAAGGGGGTTAAGAGGGATAAAAAGTGGTAGGTATTTTACCACAGAATCGAAAAGAATTACCTTTTAAATTGGTCAATAATATCGAAAAGAAAGTTTTTTAGTCGAATAGTTTTTCTGCTTATTACTAATTGGTAGCAAGAGAAACTATTTAATTTAATTAACTTTTTCTTTTTATTGTTTTCTAATTTGCTAATCAAATCTGCTAGTTTAGTTTTCAGAGATTGATTTACAAACTCGTTAAATGTTTAATTTTTATATAATCTTTAAAAAATAGTAATCTTTAGTTTATCCACCTTAAAAAACCCCTATAAAATCATATAAAATTGTCTAAACTATGTGCATAAAAAACATTTAGGCTTTGATGAAGCATCACATGGGCATTATGAAATCAATATCTAACTTTCGCATTGGAAATTCTCGCGTCGCGCTGCTGACTGATTCTCAGAGATGCTGGCAGCAGCTAGAGGTTACTTTTTCTCTTTCTCCGCTTGACATTCTCTGAGTCCTCCACCGCCAACTTGAATTCCTTGACCATCTCGGGCAGTGCCTCATCCGCCTCGTCCACCGTCCAGTTTTCCAGATGCGGCGGTCGATGGCGCAGGATGAAGGGATTGATGATGGCAGCCACTCCGTCAGCATTGTTGAGGTGAACGTGATGAGTACCCTGAACCTCGTGGAGTTCAAAGTGCGGGTTATTCTCCCTGAGGATGCCGATGACCTCGTCGCTCTGCTCGTCTATAAAGTTGGACTCTGAGCCCTTGATCACGCAGTAGGGCACATTCCGAATGGTCCTGGCCAATTCAGCGGCAAAGGGCGGACTCGTATGGAACTCTGTGTAGTATTTGCAGCGCCCGTCGCGCGAGAAGAAGTATTTGGCCGGAAATTTAGTGGACCTGCTGATGTTGCGCTCCAGGATGTGGCGGCAGTTTTCCAGCTCCACCGAGTAATCGGAGCCCTTGTAAAGGACCTGCTCCAGCTCTGAGTAGGTATAAGCCGGTGGCTCTTGGCGTTTGGCATTCGCGAACCGCTCGTCCTCCACCATATAGCCCTCGATATTTGTTCGCAGGTAGTCAATCTGAGATGCAGGCTTCCGATAGCGGGTCTTAACTATATCTATGCTGACCAGCAGGTCGGTCCGATGAGGATATAGCGAGGCGAATATGAAGCAGAGCATGGCGCTCATCGAGTGGGCCATCAGGGACACCTTCTGCCATCCGTACTCCTCCATGACGCGCAGGATCACGCACAGGTAGTCCACAAAATGGTAGGCGATCCCCTCGGGCAGCTTCGAGGAGTATCCGTGGCCAGGCAGGTCGATGCACAGCACTCCCAGGTGCTTCGGCAATAGTGGAAGCAATTTGTCCCACGTGCCTAGGTTGTCCAGCCATCCATGAAGCGCCAGGATGGGTCGTACCTGTCGGTTTCCATACCACCTGCCCACCACGTAGCCCCACGGCATGTCGATGCGCACGTCTATGGGCTCCTAAAATGCACAGAGAGAAAGTTTACATTAAAAATGATTATCAAAATTAAGTCAAGAGAGTAAAAAACAAATTTCTCTAACTATTGTTAACCCTAATCCGCTTGATTTCTCGCTGTGTAGAAAAGTATCGAGAAAGAGTTGCAGCATTGCGAAAAGTTGGTTTTTGAAGGGGGTGCAAAGGAGCAAGGGTTTGTCCTGCTTGTTAGCTGTTAATTGCCAGTGGGCAACTTGGTAGCTGCTTTCGGCCTGCTGTCAACCAGTTGGCTTAGTTGGGTTTTCGGGTTAGCGCAGGATGAGGATGAAGAGCGACCTGGCTAGCTGGAAATTTGCCCATGGCAATTCCCAAAGTCCATTTTGGGAGTGTTTATTTCCAATGTGTGCTCGATACCCTGAATTCAATGCGGACTTGGTGTTGGAATTCATTAAAATTTGTATAATAGATCAATATCTATAGCTAGAAATTATTTATTTTATTTTACAACACTCATCGGTAACCCCAGAAAGCAGTGGTTCTTATCAGCAGAGTAGAGAAAGTGCAACATTCAGTTCCCTTTCGAGAGCTGTGTCATATGTCCATATCATTTATCTCCAGCGATGCGTACTGGTGCGTGTTTCCCCAGCCTGGAGCCATTTGATCAATTGGTTGGGCCGAAAAAGTTGAAGTGGTTGACAACTGGGCGACTCTTTCGGACCGGGAGCAGGTGTCAATTGATGGACAGGAGTGCCACGAGCTGCCGGGGCAACAATTTATCATCTAGTTTTTCCTTTGTTTCGGCGCCAATCGATAAGCGATTGTGTATCCACTGCAATTGACTGATGCTGCACATGCAAACTCCGAAAAGTTCCCGCAAATGGATTTTCGTAGTTTGCCACCGCAGGAAAAACTTTTTCCGCCCTCGGTTTAGTACGGTCGCTCAACTTGAAAATTAGAGCCGAGCATTTCAAGTGTAACGACATTTTCGGGAGGGATGATGGTGACGGGGGGATAGAACGGACAACTTTCACAACACCCTGCCGACAGTTTGATGAACTCCTAATGAGCTAGATAATCGAAGAATACCAAATTCGATCCCATTAGGGCTCACAGCAAAAAGTTAATGTGGGCAAATTGAAATAAAGTTCGAAATTATTTGAATTTAAAGCAAAACCGCAATGCAGAGTTCAATCATTTATCATTTTGAAATAATAAAGCTCTAAGCATTCATGGAAAGTTGTACCTTTTAGCAGTACCTCACGTATACAAGCTCAGATGAATATCTTCATGATATGAACTCATTATCAACGCTTTCTGTTACACTTCGAGTGGTTCAGCCAAAGTTTTCCTACCTCAAGCACTTAGCCAAAACAACATTCCACCGGTAGCTGATGGCTCCAAGTAGACATTGACTTTGATTCCGCATTAACTGGAATCTTATCAGTTCGAAGAGTCCAAAGCGATAAGAATGCAATTCCGTTCAAAGGTAAAAGCATACGAAACCAAAGGGGCGGCTGAAACGTGTTTGGTCGCCGGACTTTCAAGGGAATCCATTTAGTTTGATAACGGGGTCATATAACATCTAATAACTGTTTATGACAGACATCTCACTCCACTCTATATAATTACCTGTTCATGCTGCTCAATGTGCTTGCCGCCACCTTCAGATTTCGATGTCATTTTTGTAGGCGGCTATCTGCGAGTAGTAAATGTCACAATCTACCAAATAAATCCGACACACGCCGTGTCGGAAATTATATACACAATGTGTGTTTGGGGAAACTTTTCTATTTTTATAATATAATTACTAAGTTAGTCGAATACTAGAGAGAATGAGCCGAGGAGAAGTGCCCGCCAGCAGGGCGTAAACAAAACTAATTCGCCTTCTGTCAGAGAAGTCGATTAAATTCTAACTGAGACTGAACTTTAATCAGCGGGGTTTCCAAATCGAGTATCGGGAGAAGGTAAGAGAACTGGCACTCGACCTAGAAAGAGAGTATATGGAGAGCACTGACTAAAACCGATCGAGCGAAAGCTTTCTAGGGTTAACGTTATGCTTAGTCACTTTTCGGTTGTGATAAGGAAAGAGAGGAAGAGAGAGAAAAAAAAGCTTTGGGAGCAATTATAAGCAACAATTGGCATCAAAAGAAACTTGCAGACTACACATTTTCAGAGCAAAGGTTAAAAAGGTGTTAATAAAATATATGAAAATGAAAACCATCAATAAACCAATCAATATTTAATCCATCCAAAAACAAGAAACTAAAATACTAGCACACTCTATTAAGTCCTAACCTTAAATACCTTAATAAAAGTAAACAAAATCTCTAAATGCCACCACAATTAAATCAAATGGCATCCAAATGAGTTGACCATGGAAAACATTGAAATTACAATGCTCATATCACGGCGACAATACAAAATAATGAATTCAGGCATACAAAATCGGCTATTTACCAAGATAAACATAAATATTTATAGATTTCATTTTCGAAAAGTGACCATCAAATAATTGATGCAAACATGGCAAACCTCATAATGCCAGACCAGAAAATAAAATACACTTCAGAATATTGCTTTTTGATCAAACTCCATAGATAGGTAGAAAAAATGTTAAATTTTTCATATTTTATTATTAATTTTTATGAGATTCGCACAAAAGAGCACTCACATTTTGCAATAAAACGGAAATGAATTCGTTTTGTGCGTTCTTTATAGCGTTTTTTATGCAGCCTGCAATCGGTTCAAAAATTAATAAACGACCAAATCAATAAATATTTATTTAGCTCTCATGGGCAGCAGATAAAAGTTGGCACGGGGTCAGCCTCTATTTTTTGGGCGAGGATAACAGACAGAACATATTCAAAATACCATTCGACGCTTTCGACAACAGTTTACACAATAAATGAGTTTAGTTTTTGCTAAATGAAAACCATTTCAAAAATCCTATTGCAGTCGCCCGGGGCTGGGGCTCAAATCATAAATCTCCATGGAGTGCAAATTGAATGTGTTTCTGCGAGTGGCCAGCGACGGTTTGGCCCGAATGCCATAAATAACGAATTGATATCATAAATCTGGCGACGAAAAGTATGCAAAGCTTTTTTAATTTCCAATGCAATTAAAACTACAAAGGCCAGGTTTCAGGTTTCAGTATACGGACTCTAGGATCAGAGGCCAAGAAAGGAAACACCACAGCGGCATTTAATCAAATGCATCTGGCGCCGATGACCAAGTGGCGGAATCCCGAATCCAGTTAGCACCTTACCGACCCGTTCGGCATTTCAGAGCTCGCAGCAAAATCAAATTACAGCGGCCGGGCCGCAGTTCACCTGCTATGGCGCCCACATTTCGCCCCCTCGTGCCACTAATGACATTCGAATGACATTGCCGGATGCAGTCGCCCAGTCAACCGAACTTGGCTAATGACTCCAGCTCCCCTCTGGCCATGTTGCCTTCAATATGACCACATGTACATGTGGTTTAGAAATTAAAAAACTGCCAAGAGCTGGGAAAAAGTAGGGTACAAAAACAAACATTTGCCAGCTTTTAAAGAGTTATTCAACTCATTTTACTAATCCGATTTTAAGTTTTGCAATGATTTATTTAACTAATTATCTAGAAATTAAATTATGAAATACAAGAGTAGTATTTTGTATCTAATTTTGTTTACTTTTAAAGCTTTCTACTTAAATATTTATTAGACTAATGACCAGTTAAGATTAACTTCAAAATCGGGTCAAAGTTGACTGAGCGGAATGAAAGGAACGGCGACGACAGCGTTCGTTACAGATTCATTTGCACGCCTCGCTTGGCCACAGATTTACACTTCGTATTTTCTGGATTTATGCCAAAGTAAAGGCGTTGACGCGCTGCCTGCCACGCCCTTTAGCGACGTGTCCCGCCCTAATATTGCTGCTAGGTGCAAAATGCAAAGTAATGGGCTTGGAATATGCCTGCCAAGGAGGCCAACGAAGCTGGCAAGAGAATCCTGTCGAAATCGGAGATACCCTTTAATTGGGTTACAAATTCCAGGGAAGGGGTTTGTTAAAAGGTTTAAATTAAACGATTACCAACCTTCATGTACTAGTTTAATGCTCGAAAAATCTACATGGCTGGGGCAGATGTGTTTTCCCATTAATTTGCTGTAAAAAGAGAGTATAAATGTCGTTCACTGGCAGCTCTTTTGCCATCCCGTTTTCTGAGCTCCTGTTTTCTGGTCTGGCCTTTTGTCTGGCACTCAAGTGAAAAGCTTTTGTCGGCGCATGGAAATTTGACGGAAATTGTTTGGTCTGATGGATGCAGATGCACCTCATCCTAGTCCCTGACGCTGCTCCTGATGCTGCTCCTTCTGCTTGTTTTGTTGCTGTGTACCTTTGGCTAATGGTCTCGTTCCTCCCAGTTCCTCCCAGTACCTCCCAGTTCCTCCCTGTTTGCTGGCTGTGTCAATCCTTCAGCTAAGTAAGCAGACAGTTTTTAGCATTATGGTCAGTTGAAAGGCCATAAACTGGCCTGTTCAGCAGAGTGTTGTCTAACCGAATGAAAATGGCAATTTCAATAGAATTTAAACCTGATTCCTGCTGTCGAGGAGGAAGCAAGGATTACTCCAAGCGAAATAAATGCAAATCGCATTAGAATAAATTTTGGCTGGCTGCTTTCTGGCAGCGTGACTGCGCCTGCAGTATAATGTCCTTAAAATGGCCAGCCGAGGCGAGACGAGCAGCAAACTCCTGGAGCAGCAAACTTTTGGCGACAGGTAGCTCAGATAGTGGAAGAGAATGTGTATATAAGCACTCTGGGAAAAATAGTTTTAAGAACATCAATCGTGATTTTAGAGGAGTTCTTTTTATCTTGTTAGTCTAACCTACTTTCCTGCTTTCTCTTAGATTCTAATTTTCATTATCTTATGACAATTTAATGAAACATTAATCAAAATTGTGAGTAATTTATATTTTTTCGAGTGTAAGGACCCCGCGAATAGCGTCATTAGGTTGAAAGAGCATGGACCCCGCAGTTGATGCCCCAGCACAATCAAAAGCAAGTTGAACTTTTTAATGCATAATTTATTGTCGACTGACTTGGCTGGCCCTGGTTAACTGAGTACTGAGAAACAGCCAACGGGCTCCAGGTTAAAGCCACACTTTTTGTTGATTTTATTTTGTATTTTTATGCGCAGCGCGAAAAATCAGTTAGAACAATGGTTGGGATGCAGATCTGCGGCGCTTCATAAATATTTATGAAATGTCTGGCCAGGCACGTACCGCCGAAAAAGCACCTCATGTAGAGAACACCGGCGAATGGCCGAGCAATTTATTGGCTGCTTTGCAAAACTCATCTTTAATGCCAGCACATGCGGCACATATAAATATTGAGCCGAAATATTTATTTTCAATTGATTGCTGGTTTGTGGCGGGGCACAAGGAAGATGATATATGCGGATAAATGCGGATAAAATTAGGGATTCTTAAATTTATGTTTGAGTAATAAAAATAGCAGCCTGCGTTCTAAGTCTTAACAGGACAGGACTCTTCATTAGTTGGAGATATTCTCAGGAATGTAAGATCTATATTACAGAATTTGCACTGTCACAACTTCAATTTAATCATAAATGACTAAAAATGGTTTCATCAAGCGAATCATATCGCCATCTGTCCGCAACTGTCCAACCATTCTGTTCTCCCTTCTGCCAAAACTTTTCAGATTTGTTTGCGTGTTTCGCTGGAGCAAAGTGAAATTGCAAAACCAAATCGTCCGATCCAAGTCACAACTATCAATTAAACTAATTAGCTTGATTTCCCAGCAGAGTTGCGCAACCCAGGGACACGCCCAAAACTTTCGCCTTGGCTCGGCTTCCTCTTTTTGGGTTGCGGTTGCGATGGAAAATTCAATCAGCGCGTGCAGAAAAACGCAATCAAATGATTAAGTCAACAAATGAAGGCAAATTGCTGGGGCCGCAGCTGGCGCTGGACTTTTGGGATGCACTGTGTGCGGAAAATCGAAGCCAGAAAGCAAAAAGTCGCCGCGGCCAATGAGCTTGTTTCCACCGAGGTCTTCCTCAAAAACTTTGGTCAACTTCTCCCTCGGGGATTCCCCTTTTTTTTCGTATTTTTTGTGACAGCAACCGGGCGCATTTTAAGCAGGTGAAAAAGCGCAAAAAACTTTTGGTTTTCCTAATGAGTGTGGTACTTGGGCCATTGATTAAATCGAGGTTGCTGCCACCTCTTCCACCCGCCCGCTGGCCGTCTTTTCCTGCTGGCCAACATATTTTTGCCATTTTTATGCCCTTGCCGGATTTTTGGTCCACATTCAAATTCAATTGACTGGGCGTGGCACGTGCTACATAGTACATATATCTATATCTATATCTGGGAGTGTGTGGCTGCCTCCTTGGAGCATATTTATTCCCCTTTTTTGGTGCGATTGCCTGGCAGGAAATTTATTTATATTCAATTTGTGAATTTATGCCACTTTTTTTTGCCGGGGAAGGCAACGACAATGCCGGGGGAAATTCAGTTTGGTGCAGATGCATCAATGGGCCAGGAGGCAGGATGCAAGCTAGGCGAGGAGTGCACTAGGCGAAAATGTGGCGAGGATTCGGGCTTGGGGGGAAAATTGATGGCCTTACGGCCAGCTAAGCGAATGGATATTCCCATAAGAGGATTCCTAAGAGATCTTGAGGAGCAGATTCCATAAAAATAAAATAAAGATGATTCAGTTAGGATTATGCCAATAAAATATCGAAGGAAGATGGGATGAAAAGTTAAACAAGAGAGAAAAAATGTGTGATTGGTTTAATATACATATTTGGGAATGGCTTATTGAAATGCAATAGGAATGGCTTAACCAGTATTAAAATATATGGGAAATCCTAATTTTTAGTTAAAATAAAACATTTAAGGACAGATAACAGATTGTTTGTTGAAGAAACTCCCTTGGACTCCATTTTAGCTAACTATTTCTCCCTGTGCCTCCGAGTTCCTTTGTGAACATCTTGCTCAGACGTGCCATTCTGTGGAAGGAAACTTAATGCTGCATTTACGGCCACTGATGCATTTACCACCGCTATTGCTGCTGCCTGTCGATAAGGTCGCCTTCTAGTGGGTACATTTTCCGCAAAATCATAAACACATTTGGTCGCTGCTGTCGTCCTGGCTGATTACCTAATCTGAAGGACTAGGCCCGGACTGCTGGGTACCATTACCTGGTAGTTCCCAAAGGTACAGTCTGAAACGAAGAAAAACCAAGAGGTACCTACAAGTCTACCTACCTACCAGCCGTTTTTAGGTACTTAGGTAGAGGTAGATATAGTATATATAGTGTTATCTGGCCGAGGATCCTTCATTCCGTCGATGTCCTTCCACAGCGATAGTCAGCCCTGAATCGTCGTCCGTTGAGAGCGTGAGTTTTTGTGTCTGTGATAGTTAGACCCAGTGCCAAGTGCTCAGGATGTTATTCCTAGCGCCGCGCAAACATCTGTTTGCCACCAACCTGATCATCCTGCTGATGATCTACGTGATGCGAAAGTGCCTGCAGCTCTTCTGCATCATCGAGAACCGTACTGGCCATCCGGAGGACGAGGTCCAGTTGCCGGAAAGGGAGATCATCCAGAAGCGCCGCGGCGGCTTCAAGATCATCCCGGACGCCATGCACCAGAGCATGCACGGTTTTGGCTACGGAGAGGGTCACTACCAGATCTTCGTGGAGAAAAAGGAGCGCAACCTGCCCACCAAATCTCGCCTCAACGCGGCCACAGCCGAAGTCAAGCTGAATCCCAATTAGATGGTCTTTCGTGACCAAAACATATTGACACCTCAGCGTGTTAAAGACAATGTGCCAAATGAGCCAGCAAACTAAATTCCCAAGTCCCCAAAAATCCCCCTACATCCATGTCTTCTTCAATAGTTTTTAAATATTAACATTTAGCATGCAAAAAAACTTATTTTTATAAACAAAAATGCATTCTTGGCCATTAATAAAAAATACAAAAAAATACTCGTCCTTACTTTGGTTGATTGTCTCGAATTTTGCTGGAGTTTCTTTGCAAATTCCAGTAGAACATTTCATCCTTTTACATCAAAAACTCCTTTCTTTCTGTCATTTGTAACATCTGTAACCATACTCGACAAAAGCACAGGTTCTTTGTTGGCCATTTTGATTGATTAAGCCTTTGCTGTAGGCCGTTACCATTTTGAGTGATCTGCAACTTTTATGCTTATTTAGATTTCCACTTGGAGGTGGATTTCTCTAGAGGCTGAAACAGATTTCATCCCACTTGAAAAATTATCTGCTGTGGAAAAGGCGGCCTGGATGATCGCGTGGGTGTTGCAGCAACATTAAATGGCGCCAAATTTATCACAAAGTAGCAGGGCGCACATGGAGCAGCGGATATCTGGAAAGGATTGGGGAAGCCAGAAGCAAGAAGATGGGCCTGAGTGCCAAGACAGCGGCAACAACAATGTCTGGCAATATGCTGAAGTAATTTGCAAATACTCTTACCAAAAAGGGACGAAGGTTGGGCATATTGGCTAGTATAATGTGATTTTCTAACTTTTTCCCATTTTAAAGATGATTTTTGTAGCCATGAAAGAAATTTATGATAAGATTTGTAATAGTAACTCTGTTGTATAGCTATAATATCGCAAAAGTTCCAACAAACTTGTATGGGGTTCCTAATCCTTTTCCCTTTGTCAGGGCATTTCCAGGTCATCGTTAATGGTGGCGCACTTCTATTGTTCGGCATTGGCCAAGATAAGGAAGACAGAGCAGGAGCAGAAGCAGGACTTGGCTTGAGCGCAGCAATTGTTAGCAAATCTATCATCATCATCTGGTTAAGCACGTGTCCGTAATGCGTGTGTGTGTGTGTGTGTTTGTGTCTGTCTCTTTCCGCATTTTAACTCTGTCTCTTTCCCCAGTTTATCCCTGTCTCTCCCTGCTAAGCCGGCTGAAGAGGCAGAGACAATGTGTGAGCGTGCAACATTCTCTGCATTGCATTATAAATGAAGGGAAATTTTTAGTTGTAAGCTGCATCATCAGCCCTCGAGCTGCATATAAATTATCCCGCCAAATAAAGCATCCACCTACATCCTCCCAGCCCAGCCTTCATTATAATCGTGATTGTTATTGCTGTAATTCTAATTCCATAACTATGTGGCTCTGGGCATCATCCATACACCATGTGGTATCGCCCGTACGCCCAGTGGAACGTGCTCTCGTCGGCAGCTGTTGATGTGTAAAAATGAAATGTCAGTCGGATAAGCGCCCACAGGCATCCTGGCCATAATGAGGTGGCTCCGCGAGGATAACCCACCTAACCCATACACTCAGCTGGACTGCTCTCTCTCTTTACCTCCTTAACCCTCTACGTGCTCCAGTTATTCTGTGCTTCTGCCCGCATAAAACGTTAAGCTCTCATGTAAATCATGTCGCTATTGTTACTCTCGTAGTTTTGTTCGCTGCTGGACTCATTATAATTAACAATTTATAAAGCGTTAATCCACATACACTCGCACCGAAACTCTCAATGATTCACCAACACAAACTTGGCTTTGGTGCACTGTAAAAAGTTTGGCTCTTTCGATTTGCAAAGCTTTATCTGAAACAAGCTAACTCTATTAAGATGACACTGTTCTTTTAACAAAAGCAAAAACTGCAGAAAGTTCTTCTTTAATAAGACATTTTCTTAACCCAAGTTAGTTCTGATTCCTCAAAGTGTACAATATCCATTGACGGTAATTTGCCAAGGCAGCCAAAAGAGCATGTTCAGCAACAGCTATAGCAAAATCCAGCCAAACAAACAAGAGGGGAAGAGGACGTGGTATGAGTGTGAGTAAGCAGCTTTCATTGCTAAAATCCCCTCGTTCCCAGCCCTCCATCGCCATCCGGGATCCCCTCCTTTCGCCTAACTGCTCCTCTGGCACGTCGCGCGCATTAAGAAGATGAGCTGCATTTTTCATGCATGTGAAGTCGAGATTGCAGCTGCTCCTTCGTTCGTCTTTCCCCATCTCCCCATCTCGACTTGCTCATTTCATTTTGGCCTGCCTTTTAGCTGCTCCTCGGCTTCTCCCACTGCGGATTCATCCGCATCCTTGCAGAGCTCCTTCGGCTTCAGCCCCATCATCATCCTGCTCATCAGCGTCATTTGTATTAATTGCCCAAGCATTTTACGCTGCGCAATGATACCGAAAATGGGGGACTCTATTGTCGTTGTGTTTTGCCACAGTTTTCCTTCGTTTTCATTTGGTGTTCCCTAATGTTTCCACATGGTTTTTCCAGAAAGAACCTCTCTGGTGTTGATAAATAGAAAACGGCAATGGATAGTTGATGTTTATGTATTTATTTTAAAGCTTTAACCTAACTTGAATTAAACTTTTCAATAAACTTTCTAACTTTCTGCCCAAGCTCTCTTTAAAAATCCCTTACAATTACTGGCATTTTTCAGCAGACTTTCCCAAACAAATTGCCAATTTAGCCGACTGCCAACAGTTTGACAGTCACTGGCTCAATGATAGTTAAGCCGCATCGACTTTTATGGACGCTCAATTAGTGGCTCAATCGAGGGAAAAACAGCGCGTTCGATTGAATTTTATTGAGTCTTTAATTGATGCCATGCATGTTGGGATTGCACATGGCCAAACAATAGTAACAACGGCTGCGGAAATTCCACCGAATTCCTGCAACACACTCAATGCAAGGATAATTAGCAAGCAAAATGGCGGATGGGGAAGTCATGTAAATGATTTACAAAATGACAGCAAATTGCCTTCCTTCCATTTTTGCCCACTTGACAATTGCTTGAGGCGGCAGCGGAAAAACAAAGGAAACCATTTCAAAACCGCTCAACTCCGAATGAGGCAATTAAGCGGCGCTAATGAAGCGACTGCCGCAAAATTCGCATTGCATTTTAAATGCACAAATATCCAAATAAAATGCCAACTGCAAATGGCCAAATACGAGAAAAAATACCGGAATAAACTTTAATCAAATTGCCAAACGAGGCGGACAAAAGCAAAAACTGGTAGCCATGGCATAATAAATATAAATATTCGATTTTAAATCAACCAAAATGGAGCAAAACAATATGCACAACGGAAAGTAAATTAAAATGAAATTCGATGAAATTACCAGTGCCAGTAAATACAATGAAAATATATGCTAAAAGTGTTTCGGAATGTGCATTTATACAGCGGTGCTTAAAGCAATAAAATAATTGAAAACGTTTCTTAAAGACAATATTTTTATAAATTAAAATTAAATATTTTCCACTTGATTCCGTTTTCAACATTTTTGGATATTAATTAAAAGCTACAAGAAAGCACTATTATGTTGAGCGCAATTGTACATATTTTAAGCGGCTTTCCAAGTCGACAAATGTGTGGCCACAAAAGGACACACACAGAAACCAAGCCCCACTGGTTTGGGCTCATAAATAAAGTAATTAAATTAAATAAACCACAAAAAGCATCAGTCAGGCGGCATTGTGTGTCAATAAATGCCAGAAGACTTATGGCAATTAAATATTAAAAATCAATTAAGTTGCACTAACGCTGAGGAGTCTTTTAAAGCGTCTTTCTTGACTTTGCAGCACATTTTTATTTGGCCTTTGGCTTAGTCGTCTGAGTGGCGCCAAAGTCCTGCCACCATAAACACATGCATGGACAATGCGCATACGCCGTGTGGTCGCTAGTCGGAGGCCAAACCAGAAATGTTTATTACAGGCCACTCAATAAAGTATCGAAGGCCTATAAATTTCGCTACCGATAATATGATCACATATAAACCACGGACAGTGCGTAACGAAAGTAAGCAAACAGTACTTATTGCCCGGCACTGTGTGAGCATTGTGGCTGCCAACTTTCGTTTGGCACTGTCATGTCCGCTTGGTTTGGTAACTTTCAATTCGTTTCGACTCGTTTCGTTGCATGCAAATGGAAGGACTCGCAATAGGAGCGCCGTGAGGATTCGTTCTGACTGCGCTGACTTGGCTGGCTCCTGCTGCCAAATGGGTCAAAGTGGCAGTCAGCCAGGCGGCCAAACCGTTTGCCAAACCCAATGCCATCGCACACTTTCGCACACGAACTCAAGATACACTCATCAAAAATGTTGTAATAAAGTTAATTCAATTTACTAAAGCCCATTTGAAGTTCATTAGTCAAAGATAAAAAGTAAAATGATTTTTCACAACATTTTTTAACCAAAAGTAATGAAAAATGGACTTGAACATTATTTTAAGTGTACAGCTGCAAAGTATGCAACACAAAACGCTGGTAGAGAGCGAAATTGTGCGCGCTAAATTCGAAATCAAACACAAAAAATGCAAGTAAATAAAGGCAAGCAGTATGTGTGTGTGTGCGACTGCGTGGAGCCAAAGGCAAATGGAAAGCTGCAGGAACAGAGGGCAGGGGCCGAAATGTTGGCTCAAAGAACCACACATATGAGCACACACCGAGGCGAACCGCTTGGCCAAACATTTGTCCAGCTTGCCGGCACCCATCCGATCCCTCTGGCTTGTAGGCACGTACAAATCCGATTTGCACAATTCAAACAGCGAGAATTTCGGACTGAATGCATGCGAATTATTTGCTGATATTGCCCGCAGTCGTCACCAGCATCCATCTGCATCCGCATCCGCCGCATCATCATCACCATTTGTCCGTCTGACTGGCTGACTGGCAGCCTGGCTGGCCATGTTTATTCCTCTTTATGCTCGACATTCCCAGGGAATGTTTATATAATTTTAATTAATTTTCTGCGGCCAGCTTAAATCTTCATCGCGCTGAAGGAACGTAGACCGCAGATACATTTCCCTTAAGCCTTCAACTTTGCTTTCGTTTTAATTAAAAATGCATTTTAATGCGCCTTGCCTTTCACGCCGTTTCCCTTTCGCAAGTTCAAGGCGGAGGTTGTATTTAAATCGGAAAATCCGGGGCGCGTCAGTTAAAGGCCGCAACTGTTGCACTTCTGTT